GGGTTATATCAACTTTATCAAATTATTGTGGGGGTCATTACCCCCATAACCCCCCTGCAAATTACACCTATGTATGTGTGTGTGTACTTGTATTTGTTACATATTAGGACCCTTTCTGGTAAACACATTTACCTGTCAAGACCTCTAGTCTTGATGTGGACTTAAGATGGGTCCTAATATAGTGGAACTCCATTTTTGGGTTGGGACATTAGGTTTAAGGTTAGGCTTTAAACAAATGGAATTGAATGGAAGTCAATGAACAGTCCCAATAAGGATAGAAATACAAACTTGTTTGTTTTAATCAGTTTGTGGGAGTCAAATACAACAAACAGGACATAAGAATGTGAAGATTCCTAAAATCATTGGGATTATTTAGAGATCAAAATGTCACATTCTCAGCTGTAGATCTCAGGTTTTAACTCTGAGATCCACTTGATGAGCATCAAATCTCCATGTCTGACCCTTAGACAACTGGGATAGATGAAATGTTAAAGTTATAGAAGCCCGTTTGTTAGGTATGAGTTGGATTGATAGGTTTGCGCATTGTACCTCTGCTTTTTAATGTTTGTGCTGTTCTTAGCTTAATCATGTATTTATTATAAAAGTGTAAGAAGTGAATAGATGACAACTGGAATCAAAACTTCTTAAGACTACTTAGTAAATGTGAACCTCAGTCTTTTCTTGTTACTCTTTTTTAAAACAAACTTTCCACTTGGAGCAGAACTGCAGGGACAGATCATGTTTTAATATGTTTTTTTTTTTTTACCTGACTCTCACTGTTCATCTGCTGTGGGTTGTTTGAGGATAATAACCCTGCGATAATGCAGAACTTCAACCTAATGCCTTTAAACAGATCTTTTTCTCCTTCCTTCTCCTTCAATTGGAGTTACAAAATCACCCTTCTTCAAATAAGAGACACAATAAATCCGACTGGTTATATTACTGCAGTTTTATTACAACATTGTTTCAAACAACACGTCTTTTCAGCTACAAAAAAGCACACAGTTGTGCTGGTTTAATATATGAGAGTGGAAAAGAGACAAGTTTACATGATCATAAACGTCATCGTGTGCAGGCACTGCTCCGACAGCTGACCAGCATGGGACAGTAAAAAGTAAAAGTTCCTGTTTGCTGAGCCCTGAAACAATCACACAACACTGAAGAGCTTCAATCCATTTAGTTCGTAAACAAATAAACCACAGTCTGGCGTTCTTTAGGGTTTCAGTCACACGTCGAAGGGCTCGTGAATGCTCGCCCATAAATAAATAAAAAGAGAGAGATAAAGTGTTGCTAAAGTACTTCCTGTGCGTTCGTTCATTCAGTCACAGAGGCAGAAAAGCAGGAGGAGTCGGCAGACTCTACAGGTCCGTCTCTCACCGGAATCATTTAAACATCTCTCTCCACACGTTCACCTCCTATGATCTGTTTACAGTCAAACCGCCTGAAATTGATTAGAGGTAGGGTTCGTCCCAGATAACACTCAAAACAGCTTTTACTTTTCTCGTATGTTTTAACCACACATACAACAGGAAAATAGAAAAATAGAATGAAAAAAAATTCTGAAACGTTACGAGAGATTCAAACAAAATGAAATGAGTGCGGTGCTCTTGGTCCAGTCTGTGTTACATTCACAGGCTCCAGCTGTTCTGCGTTAGCACCACAGTTGTTCCCTGTTCCCTCGACGGCTCCAGCCAGCGTGGATCGGGGTTTCCTGTCACGTCAAACCACCGTCCCTACGCTTCTGCCTGACCCAGCTGTCACGGAGGGAAAGCGATCCGCGAGTTTGCTACACTTATTTTCGTTTTTCTGATCGTACTGCAGAGTTCTGCTCATTATTGACCATGTAGTTTTCACAGTACTCAGGGGTTTGTATTGCTGCACACACACACACATGCACACATACGCCTGCGAAGTCTTACCACCTGGAGTGGAAATATGCTAACAATGCTAAAAAAAAAAAAAAAAAAAAAAAAAAAAAAAACAAAGCCTGAAAAAGCAATTCAAGATGCACTACTTCCTATTTTACTACTTGGGGGAAGAAAAAAAAATTAAGGGGAGACCCTACAGTTTTGTATAAAATCCCACTGATTTGTTCCAAACCAGATAATATGTGCTGCACTTCAACAGAACATATTTTATGTTTTGTAATTTGCATGAACAATGCTTTTCTTAAAAAATAAAAAACAAATTGGACATGTAAATAAAAGGAAAAAAACTACTCATAAAACCTTGGTTTGTACGCATCGCCTCTCCGATGCTGATTGTTTTGCATCGCAGAGATCTTTTGGCAGGTTCTGAAGCAGTGATAATATCCTCTCCTTCATATCACCAGTGCTTTAGTTTAAGGAGGGGGTGACAACACTCAAACATCAGACTGTGACAGAAAAAGTAAGCCCCTCTTTGAAAGTGACTAAATATTCTGTAGTGCTTACCCACGGTTTAAAGTGTTAATATATCGTCTCACAGCCGCAGTAATTTGGCTTCAGCTTTACCATCTGCTGCAGATGTGCTACTCACTACGAAGTAAATAAAACTCTTTCACAAATACATTTCATGTATCCGATTGTCATTCCTACATTTCATTCTGTCGGCTGCTGAGCTAAGTGCTAACACCGCGGCACTGATACTCGGAACACTCTGGTCCAAAGAGAGTCGTACAACTCGAATGTTTTCATAACACAACAGTGTGTCCTGGTCGATTTTTCTTTGCTAACAGTATCTGATAAACACTTCCAGGCTAATGCTGATGGGGAAACACCAGGCATGCTGGGAGTCAAAGGCTCCTGAGGCGACTGCGCTGGCGACTCAGGAAAACACCAGCATGAGGCGGAGCAGCACGTGTGTAACAGCAATGCTGGTTAGCTTCATCAGAATGTTTTCAGAGAAATGTTTTGTAAAAATAACATTATTATAAATTTTATACATTACTTTTATCCATCCTTGTCTCAGCAGAGAATGGGAAATAACTTATTTTTAAAAAAACGTAGCTTGTTTGTGTGTACGATGATGAAAATACAAGATGAGGGCGTCACTTTGTGAGGGTGCAGTGAAAACTGCCCTCTAGTGTCAGCCCTACAAACAGCACACATCCTCACGAGCATCACTGAGCTGTCAAGATGGTCAGGCACACATCCAGAATGTGTGAGTGTGTGTCCATGTCTGGATTTGTGTGTCCTTCCTCATGTAAAGTTCAAGAGCCTGGCTCTGACTGAGGCTGCGACTCCTCTGATTGGCTCGGAGCTCTCTGACCGTCTCTGCCCAGCTCCTCGCCCAGCTCGCCCATGTCCATGTCGGGCAGGTCCTCTTCGATGGGCGCGGCCGCAGCGTCCTCACAGTACATACACACCTGAACATACACAACACACAGAGTTAGCAACCATTCCAGCAGCTGATGAGGGAGCTACAGCGTGTTTAAAAGTCTCTAACCTTGACGTTGACGGCTGCAGGGAGGCCGCCCCTCCTCATCCAGGGATGCTCCTCCACCAGCTCCCGCCGCTGCTCTGATGTGAAGTGAGGCTGACTCTTCTGCATCTGTCTCAGCCTCTCCTTATCCTCTCTCAGGACTCTCTGAATGTCCCTGTTTGGTAGCAAACACACACACGTTGCACATGAGCAGCCTGAAACTTATGTGATTAAAAACGGTTCAACAGCTCAACTCACCTGGATGGCATTTGATACGTCATCATGACCTTGTCATCAGCATTGGCCATCAGCAGCCAAAGAGGCTCCTGCAGAACGTATTTGATGAAATGCTCCCCTTCTCCGTCAGTGGACACTTTGGCCTGAGATTTGCTGCCATCAGAGCTGCCTTCACCCCTGAGTTTAGCTTTCCCTTTGAGGTCATGCTCCAGAGAGTCAACGCTGCCGAAGTACTTGCTGGTGTTGCTGCTTCCTGTACAGTTAGAGGAAAAAAAGGGTGAAAAACTCAAGGAAATTAAAAAAAATTTTCTTTCAAAAATAGGAATATTAGTTAGACTAACTAGATTGCAAAACGGGGTTCCTACAGTTTAAAGCAAGTTAAATTTAAGACTTTTTAAGACTTTTTAATGCCAACTGAAATTAAACTTAAGACTTTTTAAGACTTTTTAATGCCAACTGAAATTAAATTTAAGACCAATTTCACAATAAACACAAATGACAAAAAAATAAATAAATAAAACTGTAGCAGAATCTCATGAATCAAAGTATTTTTGGTTGAAGTGTTCAAATATTGCTAATAGACCAATTGTTTTTATCCATTTCTAATAGCTTTTTCATCAAACATAGCAAAAACATTCTTAGTAGTCAGTTTAATGACCCAAAATTTGGAGTATTAGGACCCACAGTGGGGTCTTAACGCCAATTTGCTGTAGATGAAACCTTAAAGTGCCTGTGATGTCAAAATTTGTAAGAAAAGTTAATGCATTTTTGAAAAGGCATTATTAACATATTACAAAACAAATTTCACATCACTCAGATGAACAGTTGAAATATTTGCATGTGAAGTAACAGAAAGTGATGTCAAAGGGGAATGTTTGCTTGTGAATATTAAAAAAAATAAATGTTACCAATTATTTTAATATTTGAGATGAATTACAATCATCCTATTTACAATGTGTTAACTTTTTTAACCCTGCTGAAAGATTGATTTAAGACATTTTAAGGCTAATTAAGGCCTTATTTTTGGGTTGATGAATTCAATGACTTTTAAGACTTTTTAAGGATCTGCAGGAACCCTGCAGAATGAGGGGGACTTTAATGTTTTTCAGCTGACCTGTTCTGCTGCCAGAAGCTCCACTGGCTGAAGTCCGGCAGTCGTTGGAGCCGGAGCCTGATGCTGAGCCTGACCCCAGACCTGAGCCCATGGAGCCAGAGGTGGCTGATCCGGTGCCAGAGTGGGCATCCTCTTGCTCCTGTAAAAGGATGTCCAGCAGGTCGCAGGATGAAGAGTTACCATCACTGTGAGCACCATCACCTCTTGATTCCAGCTGAAACAAACAAAACAACCAGGGATACAGTTTAGATGCTTTTCTCGTGAAGCAAGTTACTTTCTTGGATTATCAGGGAGTTTTCTGAGGCTCTCACCTGTTGATGATTATCAGTCTTGGCTGCACCTCCGTTCTTCTCCCCTGCTGCCACTGCTGCTGTGCCGCTGCACTGTCCTCCAGCGGGGGGCACTGTGCTGTCCTGACGCTCCATGGAGCGCTGCCCCTCCTCCATGCTCAGCAGGTTCAGCTGCAGGGGCGAGCTGCAACGGGACTCAAAGAGTGGCGGTGATGTGGTGGGCTCTCGGGCCCCGGAGGCAGGGGTGGAGGATCGTGAGGCTGCTCCCTCCCTGGGCTCAGCTGCGGGGGTCTTGGGGAGCTCAGGGGCTATGTTGTAGGGAAAGGGTTGGGCTGGATAGGGAGCTTGAGGAACAAACTGAGTCTGCACTGGGAATGAGGCCTGAGCAGTGAAGGGCTGCTGGGTAGCGTAGGCAGTCGCAGGAGTCTGGAAAGGCTGCTGGGTGGTGAAGGGGGTCTGAGCAGCTGCGAAAGGCTGCTGCGGAGAAAAGGCAGTCTGCACGGGGAACGGCTGCTGGCTGGTGAAGGTGGCCTGTGTCTGCATGGGGAAGGCCGGCTGCGGGGTCGGAAAGGGCTGCTGGGTAGAGTACGCAGGCTGCGTCTGCTCGGTGAAAAAGGATTGTCTCGGCGCAGCTCCCAGCTGGCCCATCTGATTCAACTGTCCTACCTGAGGGAAGAGGTAATTGGGCAGCACCAGAGCCACCACAGGTGTAACAATAGGTGCAGGAAACGGAGTGGTGGTGGGCGGAGCTTGGGCGTTCTGTCCTTCTCCAAAGCCAGAGGAGAGAGATGGGTCAGGGCGGGAGGCCTGAGCTGGAGCAGCAGCTGTCGGGGGGTAGAGGGGGTAAGCAGGCACCATGGTGGGGTAGGAGACATTAAAAGCTGACTGGGACGCTTCAGATGGGGACCATGAGGTCTGGTTAAGACCCTGCAGAGGAGGTCTGGGTTTGCGGTTGGACACAGCACTGTCTGATGAGTCAGGATGCTTCATTCGTGGCTTCTTGGACTTTCGGTTGCGGTTGCCCTTCTTAGCAGTCGTTTCAGGCCTGGTGGTGCCTTGTTTGGCTGCACCTTGTAGACCAGATGGCTCTGAAATCAAACATGTAGAAGCAAGGAAACATTTATTACAAAGCAAAACTTGTATATATTAATGTAAGTAATGCATTGCTTTAAAGATCTTCACTAATATCTGAACCTGAGTCTGATCTGAGCTTGATTAAACTTGCAGTACCTTCAGCGTTGGCTGGACCTCTCTGATTGTGCGGATATGAGGAGCAGTCCTTCTGTAAGCTCCTGGCGTTGCGAAGCTCTCGGCAGCGGTTCAAAAAAGCCTGCTCCTCTTTTTGGGTGTGTGCTGCCAGCACCTCCTTGGTTAGCCCCAGCCTCTTGTAGGCCTCCTTCTCTTGGCTGGGAGGAGAGACCATACTGATGGGCAGTGCCGGGGGTGCTGGGCTCTCCGCAACATCTTCGATGATCTCTGTAGCACAAAGCAGGGCCGTAAGCATCAAACACGACTTACCGTTCAACAAGCAGATGTGCTTCTGTTCCTCTATATAAATTTACCTGAATCCGGCTGAGGCTTCTTGTCGCCCACGTGGACAATGGTGCTGCTGTAGCTGCACTGTGAAGTGATTGACACAACGCTCTCAGCCTTACTGGGCAAAGTAAGGGGTGCCATGGTACCCCCCACCACAGCAGCTGCCCCAGATGGAGGCTTCTTAGGTGCTTTCATGTTGGACATCCCTGGCTGAGTGTCTAGCATCAAAGCATCTGGATCATAAGAGAAGTTTCATTGATTTAGATGATAGTATTTAGATGACAGGATTAACTGTTTCTGACCTGCACTATACTTTTGCCAAGTTGCTTTATATATGGTGCCCCATGTGAGGCACCAAATATATAATACTACAGTATTTTATGCACATGTGTACAGATTTGAGTCGTCCCACCTGTGTGTGTACCCTGAGGCATCTGCATGCCATCTTCTGAGCCCCTCTTGTCGTCATCTGAGTTGGATGAGGTAGTGTTTGAGGAGAACTGGTACTTCCGTTTCACTGTGATGGGGATATTACAACTCTCCAAATATCTAAGAATCAAAAATTATTTAAAGTAGGGAGATCATAAGTCACACATTTTAAAATATTTTAGGAATACAAAAAAAAAAAAACAGAACTAACCGGATGACACTGTCGAGGCAGCTGATCTGCTGGTAAGAGCAGACAGTCTGGTCTCTACAGGTGAAGTCATCCATGCTGGCCCCGGTGTTGTCTTTAACATGAGGTGCAGAGTCTTTTGGACGCACAGCTGAACTCCTCTGAGCAGCTGAAAAATTTAAACAGGAAGGGAGAAAAAATTTCAGAAAACAGATAAAATCTGTTTATTTATTTATTTTTTAACCACAATATAGATTTCTATATTTAAAAACTGACCCTGTTAAAGTGATCACAGTTTATTACAGCTTTAACTGCAGTAAAGTAGACTTACTGTCAGTGGTCTTCCTCTGTTCATGTTTAGGTGGCCATGGTGACGAGGAGCGCAGGCAGACTTGAGAGTCCTGGTTCTTTAGCATGTGGACACCTTTACAAATTTCCTGAAAGGTCCTTGATGGCTTGCTCTTGCCCGTCTCCTCTGCTGTGTTCCCAGCGGGGATGTTCCCGTTGCTTTCGCTGGACGAGCTGATGCTCACCTGCTGCTCATGGGAACCATTGCTGCCGTAACTGCCATAACCGCTGGAGCCGATGTTATGAACAGGCTGAAGAGAAAAGGGCTGTTAAACAAGTCCTATTTTGAGTTAGAATTCAACGCGTGTGTTTGCATACTTGGAGTAACAGTCTGTGTATCTGTTCGCTGATTTCCTGGATGTCCGAGTCCATCAGCTTCCCTCCGTGGAAAGCGGGAACTGCAAAGACATCTTCATTGACAGGACCCCTGAAAGGCACAAACACCAGAGTCATCTATCTTTTCATAAGGGCTGTCGAAAAAAAGAATGAATGGTTTATGAAGGATGAAAATACTTACATGCGCACTTTGTGTCTGCCAATGACGAAAGAGACCTTGCGGCTCCAGGGATTGACAAAACTGGACCAGCTGGTGTCAATGGTGATGTACTCGCCATTTCTTGCACAGAAGCGGATGGAGGAATGGTCAAAGGGCTGACCAGCATACTGCAGAACTGAAACAGGAAGTAGTGTGCGTGGGTGAATGAGAGAAGAGGGCGGATCAATCAAATATTTTTATAAACTATCAATAATATATAACATCTATAGGTCAATAATAACATGCAACAAACTCACTCTCTTTCAAAAATGTAAATAAAAATGTATTACTTTTGCGATGAACAGCCAGCATTAGGGGTCGGTCACTCGGGTGCAGATTAAGCAGTATGGGGGTCCCGATCAGATCCTGGGGGAGGTATCCCAGCAGAGGTACAGCCCTAATAAAGAAACAATCAAAAACCATTATTAGAACAAAACTATGTAGTATAAAAATATATTCAAGAGAAGAAAAACAAACAAACAACAAAAAAAGCTTTTGTGATGGTTATACAGACACTCCACCCACCTCTCATCTACATCCTGAAACACACAGTTGGGTGTGTGTGTGGTGGTGAAGATCCGTTTATCAGGGGGGATTCTGGGAGCTGAGCAGAAACAAATATGTTATGAATATTTAAAACAATAAGTTTAATAATTTGGACAGTGATTGAAGCACTTTAGTGGTTAGTTTTCTGCTGTCGACAATGAGATACTAAGAACCCCGGTCTTTCATGAGTTTGATTCTGATCAAAGACGCAGATTTCCTCTTTTCAGTTTTCTTCTCATCTGTCATTTTTGAACCAGAACAACCAACATGAAGCTATAAGTTTATGGCAAGATCAGTGATTGTTATTGAAAAGGTGTGCTTAAAACAATCACCAGATCTGTATAAAATTTAATCGAGGCTCTTGTCAAGTTAGTGTTCCCTACTGTGACGCTACGTAATGCTAACGTTGAGAATAAACCGGCTCACATCTGCTCAAATCCTCATTTACTACATCAACTACTTTAAATAAAAATAATTAAGTTCTCACTGGTTTGATCATTGCTACTGTGGCTGCTTTACTACCACCCTCCACCCCCAACCCCGCTCTGAGCTCTTGGCTATAATTTACAGCCCACCACCCCCACCCCACCCACCCTCTGCACCAAATCACTCTGATGCATAATGAGAAAATTACCATTGACATTTCATTCTAAAACATGAATAAACCCCTAAATGTAATGATTACATCACCAGTTTGTGGGTGTAATAAAAGTCTATATAAAAACAGGACAGGGCACGTTAACTGATAATGGCGTTAATAAGCACTCTTTGTAGTGATGTTTTTTCTTACTAAAGAGCCTCTTATCCCAGTAATTACCAAAGTAAAAGTTCAACTGTAAGAAAAGTTTGATTCATGTTTTGTGCAACTTTTATTTTTAAGTCCAGAAGAGCATGAACCCCTTTATATTTTGTCACCACACTAAAATTTGGTTATTACGAGAGCTGTTATGAAACTTCTGTGAGAGGTGCAGGATTACAGCCATCGTGAGGATGATATAAATTTGTTTTCAGGGCATGACATAAGGCTCACCATCTGTTCAACATGTACTTAGATAAAAGTTCTAAACACAGGGTAATCTAATAATTGCACTAAGCAGCTGAAAGGGCCCGAGATGGACACACTGTGATTACTCATCTGATTATCTCACATAAAGCATTATTTCCAACAGATCTGAAATACTGTCTACTTTTTTTCTTCATTACTTTGGCTAAAAGGTATGCTAAAGTAATCATTAAATGTTAAGCTTTCCGTATGAAGGGGATTCTGCAGTCCATGTATCTCTTACCTTCATATCCAGAATGTACCCTCTCAGCCAGCAGGAGGCAGCAAAACTGTTCCTCAGCAAGCTCAGCATCCTGGACCTTCATCAGGTAAGGGGTCATACGGAAAGGGTAGTACTGCAGGTCCCCCTCATGCTCCTTACCACCACTGCAGCAACATAAACACATTTTGCACAAACTTTAAATATAAAGTCATTTAGCAGTTTCAGCACCACACAATTATAAATACCTTATGTGTTGGATTATTAATGCTGATGAAATCTAGTATTTTAGTCTGTAATTTTAAGCTTTCCATACATGATCCAAGCAGGGGTCTCAGCAGTAGGGAGAGTTTCTTGTTTTGTGGGCGGAGTTTGTCCTGTTAGAGATTGGCGCTGTTCATTCGTGTAGGCGGAGTTTGTCCTAACAGTGATTGGCAGAGTTCTTGGTGTGGGCGGAGTTTGTCCTAACAGTGATTGGCAGAGTTCTTGGTGTGGGAGGAGTTTGTCCTAACAGTGATTGGCAGAGTTCTTGGTGTGGGAGGAGTTTGTCCTAACAGTGATTGGCAGAGTTCTTGGTGTGGGCAGAGTTTGTCCTAACCATTATGGGCAGAGTTCTTGGTGTAGGCGGAGTTTGTCCTAACATAATTGACGGAGCTCTTGGTGTGGGTGGGGTTTGTCCTAACAGTGACTGGCGGAGTTTGAAATATAGGCGGATAAATGGATGGGCGGAGTTCGGTAAAACCATGATTTGTTGCATTGACTTGTCTTGTGGGGCAAGTTATAAGATGTAATAGTAAAATTAGATATGATTTATTGACTTCCATATTTGTGCAGTTATCAACTTGCTATCTTGATTTAGAATAATGTTAATATTCATATTAAAAAATATTGATCTTTTTCCAGGTGGTTAGGGCTGTTTTTATTGTTACAAACCCCTCTTCATGTACATTGTTCAAATTTTGTACAGTTCGCAGCTTCCTATCTCGGGTTATGACTAAAATTAATATTAATATTTAAAAATTTAGGTGCTTTCTGGCCGTTTTGACTGAGTTACACGTCCCACCAGCTGCACAGCGTTTATCCAACTAAATTGTTATGGATTCTTCAAACTCTACCCAAAAAAAATGATCATATTTTATTAAACTACGCCCACAAAATTCTAACACAAATTATGTTTTAGGCAAACTCCTCCCACAAAACAAGAAACTTCCACTTAGTGACCACAGAGACCCTCTTCCCCACATGACAGGTTGAACTGCAAGTTTCTTGTATCTGATACTTCTCCATCTGACCACTAGATGGAGATGTATTTTAAATGCTTGCAGCTGCTGACATCCTTCCTCCCCAAGCTCATCTTCCTCCTGCTCCCCAGCCCAGCGCTGACTCAGAGTTTGCTCTGAGCAGGAAACTATGGATGAAAGACGCTGCCGGTTTTTGTCACTCACCTGATGCGGCAAAAGAAGGATTTCTCCTGCATGCACTCCGTGGAAGACGACTCTGAATAAGAGAAAGTGGGACAAACATTACAGGAAAGGATTAGAATCAGGTTACCGCCTGTCTGTTGGGCACTCACATTCAAAACAGTGTTTAATGGATCTGAGAGGTTCCTCTCTCAGCCAGATGTGGGCAGATGTACCCGACCACACAGACTCGACTGCCCCAGAATCTGAATATATTTTAAACGAATGAGGCAGAGGCATGTGGGTAGGTTTGCATTCATTAATGTGTGAATGAGCATGCTAAAGAAAAAGGTGTGATGTGTTTATAAGCATGCGTGTGTGTGGGCGCGTCATGTGAAGAAAATAGAAACATGTGGAAGTGCAGGTGATATGGATTCATGTGGATTTGCAACGTGTGCATTTTTCATTTTTGGCAATTAAAAAATAAATCAATAAAAAATCCACGATCCAATTGCACCACACAGATAAAAACGCCACTCTGAAGGGCCTGTACCTGCTCCGGTGCACATGCTCCACGAAGGAAGGCGGTATGGCGTGGTGAAGCTGTAGAACACGCTGACATCTTGAGGCGTCAGGAACTCCACAAACTTGGCGTTGTTGAACACTTCCCGCTTACAGTTCAAGATGGATGCCGCCTGGTCGGAGATGTAAACGATCTTCCCTGTGATGAGGGACACCGCCACAGCAAATATGTCCTGTAGGTGTAAAAATAACAAAATTAAAGAGTCACTTAGTGGTCAGCACTGCAGTCTGACTAGGTTTATGTGATGCAGTTAGAAGTCGACACTTTTCAGGTTGAAATGAGAAAGCTCATCAGAATAATTCTCATTAGAATAATAATAAATAAGCTCATTTATCCATGCTACTTTGTGTGAAGAAACCCAGAACATTTCTACACGTACTGAATAAGAGGCTGCAGAACAGGTTAATAACCAGCAGACAATTACATTTTAGAAACTTTATTTACTGTAATAAGTTCAATAACTTTTACTGATATAAACATTTTTGGATGCATTATACCTCAGAACAAAACACACAAATGGCCAGCATTTTTTCTACCAAAACAGCTCAAGAGCTTTTTGTTTTTTAACCCATTTTATTCTGTTTCAAACACTGAAGAATCGACTCTAACACCAAAAAATGTTAGCACTAACTCTGTGCTAAGTGAGAAAAAAAGAATGCTTTTGACCAGAGCTGGAGGTGGGCTCACGAAGACCATCTCTCATCTTTCTACTGTTGTTTTTATTATTATCACTTACGATGCACCACATTAAACTGTCTACATAATCATAATTTTCAACTGAATTTATAAATCATGTTTACAATTTGGGCCTTTTATCGTCACAGGCTGGTGTTTATAACTACTGCTCTAAACATCATGTGTGACTCCTGTTTTAGACATCAGTTTGCAGGGAAAACACGACAACAACCCTAGAAGAAGGATCAAACATTCAAGAAAGGATTTTTTATGGTGCACAGTAACGAGGCTTAGGAGAGGACCTTGAACAAACAATCTGGTTTGTGGCTGTTTTTCAAAGAGCACCAGCTCTGGTCTAGCACTGATGCTGCTTAGTGGTACACTGACACTGGGGAACAATTAAAAAAACTGCTGCTCTAATGTGAGATGAAAACTGGTCATACTTACGGTGTTTTTGAGGGTGTATTCTGAGGTGATGGTGTTGATTTCCTCAATGGTGTAGGATGATACATCAAACCCAGGTGGCTGACTGTCATTAATCATCAGCATCTGGTAGTATTCCTCATTAGCTGTAAAACAGTGTGGATCAATGCACACATCAACTCACAACTTTATCAAGTGCATTTTATTATTTTAGGGTAAAGGGGCTTCTTTAGTTTGCCATCACTAATACACTATAAGATGATAAGATGAGTGTATGTTATAAAACTAAGCCAACATGAGGAGGTCTTACCTTTCACCTGTTTGATACATCGCAGGGCATATTTGAGCGTGTTGACGGTGTTGGACTTGCCCTTGCTCCTCTTTTCTAGTGGCAAGTGCATCTTCAGCTCCTTCAGAGTCTTGAAGAGTTCCTTCTGTGTCTTAGCTTTGGCTGACTGTTCGCTGCTGTAGGTCGTGACAAAGAGAGATACACGTGTGTCAAAATGACAAGGTTTCGTCAGTGACGTCACCCTCTGATTTCACACTAAGGAAGTCGAGGAGGAGGGGAGGTGACGAGGGAAAACGGGCATCTATCGGCTGCCGATAGGATTTTCAAGACCTTTCCAGTATTGCATTTATGTAAGTAAAGACCCAGGCTGCATGAAATAATGACCCGAGAGCGTACAAACCTGCAGCCGCTGGTTGAAGGGTTGTCCTGCTCAGAGCTCACCAGACTGAAGGCGTTGGAGCTGCTTGGTGGAGACGGGCTGTGAGAGTTGGAGCTGTGAAGACAAAGAAAAGGTCAAGTTGGTTGGAAAAGTACAGTTTACTTAAACTTGGTCTGTTTGGTTAAACTAGTAAAAAAAGGTTTGTTTTTCCAATTTATCATACTACTCACATTCCATCTAGTTAATACAGTTAACCAGAACAAATATAGTAAATACAAAATATATAATAATAAAAAAACTTAATTCACAAGATAATATTCAAACGTGGTTTGACCTGGCATTGTAACTGTTGGGACGACGTTTAACATCTAAAAGCCTGAGGATGATGTAATAAAACACAACATAAACCTGGCGCAAAATAATAAAATTTAGCTTCTGTAAAAAGTTTGATACAAAGGGAAAGCCTAAATCAATGGTCCTGTATGACTATAGGGTGGCTAAAATTATTTAAATCTGACAAATTGCTACTTTAAGAGTTTAGTACGACCTCCAAATTGAGTCGAAAACATTTATTGAGAATCCCTGAAGAGAGCTCTATTGCACTATTAAATGGAAGAAGAAAAAAATAAAGCACTGAACAGAAAATAAAGTGAAAGGGCATCCTTTCCTCTGGAGACATGTGGCGAAATATCAGAAGCAAAGGACCGCATTTCTAAAGTCTGCTTTATGCAGCAAGTACACTCAAATATGAAAAGTTTAAAAACCAAACCTCTTGTCAAGATGTCACACATCTGCTGACATTCAACCAGCTAGAATCCCTTAATTATAAAAGGGCTATGTTTTGAAAAATCAAGCTGATTTAATTACCAGGTTTAATTAAGAGCAAGGATAAATTTACATTTACAAACATTCCTTTCATTCTCAAAGAAAATGTGACAATTAGTTATGAATGTAGGTCTAAGTTTCTAGGTTAAGATCTAACAATTCTGTCCATTCTTTAATAATAAAAAAAACAATGTTTTCAGATATTTGGCCAGTTTCCAGGGTAAACTTGCACAATTTAAAACAATCTAGAGAACTCATTCTAACTTTGTGATGATTTTTACTTTGTTTTGTTTTTTTTAATGATAATTTAACAGCCTTTTTTAAATCCTATCTTTATATTTTTATGAAAGCTCTGGACAGATTTTTGTCTGTTGGGAAATGAACTGAGTAATCAATCTGCTGATTTTCCTACTTACACCAGAAAACATACTTTGGATCTAATTCGTGGTTTGACCTCACTACAGCCGTCAAACTTCCTTTTTACTGATCCTTTCTTTTTCTTATTTAGTGTCTTACTTTGTCTCTCTCCAACCAAGGCCTATCCCATTTAACTCAAAACAGTTTGTATGAACAATTCCAGTTATTTTTCTGCCTGCCATACAAAAGAAACTGTTCTAAGAATTACAAATGCACTTCTCATTGCAGCAGGTTCTGCTTTACTTTCCCCTTTCATCTCCCACAACATACCCCTCTATAGACCATCTTCCACTGGCATCATCCAAACACTCCTTGACTTGTTTTGTTCTTATCTTAAAGCTGCACACTTCAGATCCCACTGTGCCCCAGGGCTCTGTCCTGATGCCCCCTCTTTTCATCACTTACTTACTTCCTTTCCCTTGACAATATTTTTTTATAAGTTCAATATCTACTTTCATTACTTCGCTGATAACATTGAGCTCTACTTATCCACTGAGCCAAACTCTTCACTCCCATCCTCCTCCTCCTCCCTCCGTCCGCTTGTCTGAAATCAAAACCTGATTCACCTCAAACTTCTTTAAACTGTTCAGCAACAAAACTGAGTTCCTTCTTATCTGAACTAAACCCACTCAATCCAAAGCCATCAGTTTCTCCTTCCTACTTGGCAGCTTCTTAATCTCCCCCTCCCTACAGGTTAAGAGTCAGAAGGTCATCCTGGACGGATTATCGTTTACTCTAACATCAGTATCGTTACCTGGTCTGCATTCTTTCACTTACAAAGCATCTATCGACCCCACACCTCTCTCTTCCATCCTTGTTCATAGTCTTGTCATCTCCTGTATCTCCTGTAAGTCAGAGACTTCACATAAGATTTGGACCATCTTCTGAGGGAAAAGCAGATTATTTCCTACTCGCGAGCGCCCCCTCTGGTGGGGAAACTTTTTTCAGGGATACAAAACTTTTCAGAACACTGGTAGACGGCAGCCATTACAGACAAACATGTGTTTGTTGTTGTTCCAGGAGTGGCTCGGTCACACGCTAATGTCAATAGTTCGTTATCATTACTAAGGTGAAGGACTGATTTTTCCCCTTTCTTTCACATCATGTTGCCTGCTTGGATCTGTTACTATCTCGCTCTGAAGCACGGAGGAGTGTCACAGGTGAGCTCATTTCAACTGCTTTTTACGATGCGGTCTCATTTCCAGACTCGGGCATTTTGCCGATATTTCAGTTAAAACAAGTAAAAATATTTATCCGAGTATAATACTACCCCCCCAACTTTATGGATGATTTTATGGATTAAATTTTACATATTATACTTGAATAAATACGGTAGATGCTCCAGTCTGACTGTGGTGGAGGGGAGAAACACTCAGTTAACTATGATTGAGTGCACTTATTGAGTTCTTACCTCTTGTTGCTTCCTGAAGATTCCATAAGAGCAGAATCTTTTCCGTTGCCATTAGAGCTGCCCACAGACTCATTGCCGTGGGACTCGTTGCCGTGGGACTCGTTACCGTGGGATTCCGTCCCGCTCCCACCCATCTCCACGTCCTCGTGCAGAGGTGGTCGCTGACGCTTCCTGTCCTCATGGGGGGAGCCCAGTGAGGCTGGGTGCTCATGACTGCTGTCACTCCCTTCAGAGGCCAGTCCTAACTCAGGGTCGAGTTCCACCCTGTCCTGCCTGCCACAGCCCTCGCTGTAAGTGCTGGCCATGCAGTGAAGCTGGCTCCTGGAGCCACAAGGAGGGCCCTGCTCCCCCTCATCCTGGAAACCAACCCTCTCCCGGCTGCGTTCGCGGGCATCCAGAGTTGAGTACAGGTAGAGCTTTGGATCACTGTCCTCGGACATGATAGGAGCCAAAGTGCAGGGAACTCAGAATTAGGTTATTTTCCACATGTCAAAGCCATGCAGTGCACGGCACAGGCATGAAAACAGGGCAGGTGTTGCAGGAGCGTGGAGGAAGCCTGAGGTAGAGAAACAGAACAGGTGAAGTTATTAATTCATACGTCCCTGTCCAACACAGTGCACCTCCATGACAGCAGATTAATGATAAACAGAACTATTGCAAAAACAAACAATTAATTTGGGTCAAGTTCATCCATCACAACTATCTCTTTGATTTGAGTCATCTGCTTTTAATCAGCAACACTAAAACACTACACTATTAAATAAAACACACACACAAAGAGCTGTACAGTGAGCTTTAACCCCCTGACCTCTTTGACGAGCTTTAAACTTTCAAAAAGCTTTTTTTTTAACCTAAAAAGTGAATCTATTCAGATAACAAGGCAGGTTTGAAAACACAACACAAACAAAACACTCCCTTTCACACATTACCTGGACAAAATTTAGTGTTTCGCTGGCACCAAATGCTTCAGATTCCTGTTCAATCATCATGTTCTTTCCTCTCTGCCTGGCCTTAAACTGACAGGATCAATGGACACGTAGGATGGAAAACCTGACAACTAATCTCTGAGGAGGTGATCTCTGCTTCCTCACCTGATGAACAGCAATCTCAGCCATTATTAGACTTGACTCTTTAAATAAATACTTCCTTATCTAACAGTCAGGAGCTACAGTGCACATACTATCTAATGTTTTTTTAACATTAGCAATAATAATTTAAGCACATTTAATCTCAGCAGGCTTGAAAAACAAAACAAAACATACAACTATACAGACTTTTTCTTGCTTATGGAAAACCACAGATAAATCCTAGGAAAATGATTTGGTTTAGTGGGTTTGAAGTGAAAAGATAGATCTCTAAAAGAGACCAGATAAAAATACAGAAGCTAGTATTTTAGTATCTCTTCATCCTCCTCCACTTCCTCCCACTTTCCTCCACAGCAGAAAAAGCAGGAGCTGGTGCTACTGATGTCCAAAGCAAAAAAAAAAAAAAAAAAAAAAAAACAACTGGAACAACTACTGAAGAATTCATTCAAACTATTTTAATGTTTCCAACAATCCTGTGTCAGATTGAAGCTATTTCAGCTGCTTGTCTGTTCTTTGCTCTTTACATAAGTTGCTTTATGTAACGTGCAACTTTTGCCGAGGCCTCGTCATGCCTTTAGACACACAAAAGCCCATGCAGACTTTCCAGTCACCCACCCACACACACACACACACCCACTGCCACCTCTGAGAATGACCCACTAACGTTAGGAGAGCGGAAATAGCCAAGTTGACCGGATGGACTTTCTATTGGCTGCTGCAAACGGCCAATCAGAGAAGAAGGAGGTTTTAACAGGTTAATGAGGCATCAGCCAAAAGGAGGGGCACACATAGATAAAATAACACTGGGTCAAAAACAACTTTTTCATGTTTTACAAAAAATATATATAATAATCTCATGGGAAAAGTGCATTCAGTTTTACACAAACTCAGTAGCTTAAAATAAATATGCAAAATAAAAAATTTTCATTGTGACTTGATACAACAGAAGAGTGAAATTCTCAGTCAGTGCACAATAAATCCAAGAAATGTTTAACAACTGAGTATACTTGAGGACAACAGACCTGTCAATAAAAGTAACTTAACTATGAATCCAAGCTTCTTTTTAAAACATGAAAAACAGCCATGCTCAGCTCCTGAAGCATATCTATTTTCACCGGTTCAAATGTTTTTTTGCACAAGAACAAATAAATCTGAACTCACCATGGACCTCCTTCCTTCATGAATACAACATGAAACACCAGCATGAAAAAATATCCAAAAGCCGAGTAACAACTTTACCCGAGCGAAGAACAAATCAGAAATGTTCAAATCCTCTTTTTCATGGAGTTTGTGTGGATAATGACATAATGAAGCTGCCTTCCCTAGCCTCTGCTCCCAGTCGAGCCCAGTTTCAGTGTGAGTGCTGATACAGCCAGCATACTAGCACAGATCTCAGGACTTATACAACCTGGCTCCAGTCACATGGATCCTGCTACAGTGGAGCAGGGAGCTGGTAGCCTTGTTTCATAAAACCACATGGCTTTTTGTCGAACACATAACTCTTCACCGCATGCCTTTCAGGGAATAAGAAACATAAAAAAAGCAATATAGATGAAAAGTGATGCATTTCCCTTGGGTATTTAAATTCAGTAATCAATGAGTACTGAAAAATATCCTCTTTTGAATGAATGATTACTAATCATTCATTCAAAAGATTAAAAAAAAATAACATATTCCTAAAAACATGTTTGAAGGAGACTGAAAGGGCAATACAAATATATTGCTTTATGGATATTAATGAGTAATTAGCATTTTCCTTCTGAGACCTATTATTGCATATAATTAAAATGCCTGTGATTGTTTCCTGAACAACTTCACCACTCTTACAAAATGTAAAATTGACACAGCAGTCATTAATGTTTGCTTTTGCTTTTTAAATAACCTATAACCTTAATCCCCCCAACATTTAATGAAGTATTATAGTTTGCAGTTAGGGGTGGAGCTAACAGGTTTCTCTATATGTATGCCTATAAATGTTTGTATCTGTGAGGACCCTAAAATTATCTTTGTATAATAATTTTATTTAATTACAACTAAACATCTCTGTTTAAACTATCAGTCTGAACACAAACATCTAAATATAAATTGAGTATAAAGTGTTGACTCCAACTATAACTATAGGTATAATATGGCAGTAATATGTGACTAATCCAGGCGACTGGTTTGCTTTTCCTTTATGTCCGTTTTCAAGCTATCCGAGCTAACATTCAATAACATTCACATTAGAAGTTAAGAACATAAGGATGTAAAATATAAGCATTTTTAAAGGGAATTAGCAGCCCTCCCTTCCTCAACTCCTGAATGACCTGCTATTCAAAACCCACACACACGTTGACCTGCAATCCACTGCACGGTACACTGACACAGTTATGTAAAAGTAGGAATATCGTTGAAAACGAGCAACTAAATAGGCCCTGTTTACCCGCAGACGGCACATTTAACGAAACATTACACTCTTCCTCCTATGTGGGGGGTCAGAAAACTCAAACCGGCGTTTTTGGTGGCAGAAACGTAAAATAAGTAGAGCAAGCACCATTTCCGCGCATGCGCACACAGCGATTTCGTTATGCAACTTATTTTTTTTGGTGCTCGAGATCTTTCTGCTGAAACTAGCGCCTTCAAATGAAGCGAAACCAACCTGTGTCGAGATGAAAACCCCTCTCTTCGTTCGTCCCCGGTGAAGAACAAAAACAAAGCCGAACCGTAAAAACAACATTCATTAAAAAAAGTAGTCAGTCCTCAATGGGAGAATGGCTACAGACTGATTGACACAGTAGCCATCGGTCCCTCCCCGGCTTTCTTCGACAGTCCGCTGCCAGCCAATCAGCGAGCTCGGTGCGCGACCTCAATTTAGACTCCTCCCAAAGCCCAAGCCGATTGGCTGTCAGCTCGGGGTTTCCATGGGAAACGTTACGGAACAGTATTAGCTGTAGCTCATTGGCCCAGCGCGCTGTCCGTCGTTTTATATAAACAAGTCGGTCTTTGCACGTGGAATCTCATGCTGTGTGTATCATGCAGTGTAGGAGCGGGCCAGTTACGACTGCAAGGAGTGGTGGAGATCAAAACAACCTCTCAGATGTTGCAATTACACAAACATAAATTGTGTGAGGAAGAACAGTGTAAGAAACTCGTTTAGACTAAGTAACTCAGTGCTTGCACGTAATGTCATGCTGCATTAAATAAATTAACAAGGGACATGACATATAATCAAAGCAAGCAGCTGACTAATATGTTTTGAGGAATCAGGAAAGGAGTTTCTTCCAGAGTCAAAATGTAAGTTTTATAATTCCTAATCACCTGTGATTGCATTGGGAAAACCCAAGTTTAAACATATAAAAATCTATGAAATGTTTATAAGTACATAGGTAGATGTGCATTGCACATATCTCCCCAGATACAAAGGGTAAGATAAATAATTAGGGCTTTAGGAGCAAACAGTTGAGATATTTCACTGCTGGACTCTGTTAAATGTAACCATGCAGCTGCATCAAAGCCTATTTCTGTGTGAACGGCTTGCACAACTGTATTCTAGGCCATCTTGTTGTCCATCTTCACCCACATTACCTTGGCAGCTTCCCTCGTGTATGGCTTAATCCCTTGAAGTACACTTTAGAAATGAAGACAGGCAGATTTGGACCAGTTTTTCAATAATTATCATCGATCATCAGTGTGTGGGTTTTTTTTTTAGGCCTGGTTTTCTGTCAGAGGAGAGCTCCAGTCTAGGACTAGTTCCAGTCTAGTCAGAATACACCACTTGTGCTCTGGACACAGGTCGAAAACACCAACAATGAAATGTGCTGAAGATAGGTTCAAGAAGCCTGCAATGACTCTATGACTGCTTTGAGAGAAGACCTGTCGCACTTTGAACATGTTCACAATTCAAGTCAGTTGTTTGATCGTCTTTATCAATAACGTTGAGAACCCACACAAACCTTTTGAGGGGCTTAGTTCCATCTGTTCTAGCAATCGCAGCCCAGTGAACTATTGTTAAAAAGGATTTGATGAGTGATGTTCCATGTCCCAAGAGCCAAATGAGTTTTCTCTGCAGGGTAGTTGGACTCTCCCTTAGAGATGGGGTAAGACATTCAGTTATCCAGGAGAGGCTCAGAGTAGAGCCGCCGCTCCTCCACATCAACAGGAGCCAGTTGAGGCGGTTTGAGCATCTGGTAGTGATACAGGATATCTCCAGTGGTGGTTTTTAACTTGGAAATTGGTTTTGGGATATTAAAAACTGTTTCATAGAGGAGCAGTGGGGCGACCATGCTGGTGAAAATGAGCATCCTCCGTAGGGTGGCTGGGCTCAGCCTTAGGGTGAGGAGCTCCGTCATTCGGGGGCAAATCAAAGTAGAACCGCTGCTCCTCCACATCAAAAGGAGTCAGTTGAGGTGGTTCAGGCATCTGATTAGAATACCCCTGGGACGCCCCCTTTTAAAGGTGTTCCAGGCACTTTTGGTAGGAGGGTCCGGGGATGGAGGGATCCTCTCTGGCCACACCCTGGGGTTCCACAGGAGGAGATGGAAAGTGTCACTGGGGAGAAAGAAGTCTCTTCTAGACCTGTTGCCTCCACCGCCCGACCACAGGTAAGTGGCAGAAGAGGGGAACTTTAGAGATCTTCTGGAATGTTCATAATCATTTTTGAACGAATAAATTAAAAAGATGTGACATATGACAATAAACATGTAATTATCTGAATTAAGTATTTTTCCTAAGAATTCTGTTTGACATATTTATAATATAATTCTTCTGCTCTGTGTTTGTAAACATTCGGAGCAGAAAAGAAAATGGAAATGAACCAGAAAAATGAAATAATTTATTTAGGGCAGGCAGACTGGATAAGACTGAAAAACATTACTTATAAGAATTAAATTATAAACGTCTGCTCTGAAGATCCAGTCTGATTATTAAATGGCAAACTGGCTTATCGTAATGTGCCTGGTGGCTGAAGACCAGACTTTCGTTGGAGTTTTATTGTGTTTATGTTGCACAGAAGTGATCTTTAAAGAGCCAGAAACACAACACACCCAGTCTGTACCACTGATACTGCACCAAATGATTTTTATGACAAAATAATGTCAAATATAACATGAAAGCTGTCATTCAGCATGCTGTAATAAAATAATAAAATGTAGTAAAACCATGACTGATTACTGTGCTGTTCAAAGTGATTCAGATATTTTGGTTTTTTCAAATCGTGTCTCTTTTTCCTTTTTTTCCAGAGGTCAAACATCAAAACATTGGCAATTTATTGTTTAGATTATTAGAAAAGTAGTCAAAATGTCTTTTTAATTTAGTTTGTTGATGTTGTCTTATGCCAGATTGTGTATCAGCTAAAATACGTGTGACTTTGTGCCGAGCTGATTCATCAGTTTGTTGTGTGTGTGTGTGTGTGTGTGTGTGTGTGTGTGTGTGTGTGTGTGTGTGTGTGTGTGTGTGTGTGTGTGTGTGTGTGTGTGTGAGTCTGAGACTGGAGAGCTCACTCTGGACTCTTACCAGACCACACAATTGGGTGAAACACTTCATTGTCTCATTTTCGTCTGAGAGGCTGCCAGCGGGGGTTTGGGTGTGTGGATTGCTGTAAGGACCAGTTCCAAGCGGCTGCCACTCACCCCGCCTGCAGAGGTGGGTCCTCAGAGACCCTTCAGCTGCACACTCCAGGTTACGAGAACCAAATCTGTCAGATCCACTCTAACAATGAGCCTGTTCCACATTCATCCATCTGTGGTTATTAGTGTGGGCAGGTGTGCTTTATAGAGAGTCAAACAGGAGTGATTCATAAATCACTATCATAAATAAACTTAAAAAAAAAACACTACCTAAATGAATCACACACTTGATTTGTTTGCATCAGCAGCAAACTCAATGAATGATCCAGGTGGGTGGAATCCTCACAACAAGAGTGAGTCATCATGTAGGTGGCTTTTAGTCTTTTTTTCCCTTCTTTTTTGAAAACTGAATTGATTTTCAGGATTACATAACTGGAACGCTTCTGCATTTAAAAAGCACACATTAAGAATTTATGACATGAAACTTTTAAAGAACTGATTTTACATTTACTGATTGTATAAAAATGTTTAAATAGTGTGTTGGATCCAGCTTGTAGCTTCAGTTTTGACAGATGAAGGAAACAAAAGAGAGCAGATATCTTGGGAAATGTCGTCTCCAGCTAGCTTTTTACATATTCTCTGTTATCATTCTATTTTACTTTTTTTTAGTGAATTGGGTTCGTGTTTCTCTGTCTGTGGGATGAATTTACAGAAATAAGTTCCTGATCAGGAGAAGACATGAACTCAGTTTCTGTGTTTGCTTTGTGTAGTCTGGGTTGTGGGGAAGTGGTGGGCCGAAGTGTGCACCTCGTCCGGGGTGGGGCACATCCTGTTCAGAAACCCCTGTGCAGCTAGAACCATTTAAACAAATCTCATTTCATTTTTGGAATATCCTTGTCCATTAAACTTTACAGATTCACCCACTGGCAGAACCATCATGTAGCTGGAATCAACGAGAAAACTAAAAACTGTAAAGTGGAGCACTGCGAGTATAAAAACACACAAACTATATGATCTATAATGTACAGCACCCACTGAAAAACCCATCCATCCATCCATCTTCTTTCGCCTATCCGGGGTCGGGTCGCGGGGGCAGCAGCTTCAGAAGGGAGGCCCAGACCTCCCTCTCCCCAGCCACTTCTTCCAGCTCCTCCGGGGGAACTCCAAGGCGTTCCCAGGCCAGCCGAGAGACATAGTCCCTCCARCGTGTCCTGGGTCTTCCTCKGGGCCTCCTCCCGRTGGRACRTGCCCRGAABACCTCACCAGGRAGGYGTCCAGGAGGCATCCTTACCAGATGCCCGAGCCACCTCAACTGGCTCCTCTCGACGTGGAGGAGCAGCGGCTCTACTCCGAGTCCCTCCCGGATGACCGAGCTTCTCACCCTATCTCTAAGGGAGAGCCCAGCCACCCTGCGGAGGAAACCCATTTCACTGAAAAACGTAACCATATTAAAATCTTTAGGCTGACAAACAGTTAAGTTTCTGATGTTTTAAAAACTGTTTTTTTCATGCGATGTTTTGTACGAACCATTTATAGATTTAGTCAGAAATGGGCAAGAAAATGTGTAAACAAAAAAACTGCATAAAACTGGCAAGGATATGGCTAAAATATGAATTATTGAAATTTGAGACAACTATTTGTTTCGGATACTTTCTTTCATGCATTTGTTTTTCAAATTAGGCATTTTTGAAAAACAAAATACAAAAAAAATGATAGAATTTCTAATTGAAATATTTCTGTCAGGATAAGCAGTCTGTAATTGTTTGTCTGTTGCTAAAAGTACGTCATAAATAGGGATGCACAATATATCTGCATTAACATTGGTAACTGATATTGGTCATTTTTTATTATTGGTATTGGTCTGATAAGTAAAAAGTAAGAGTAAATTCAACACATCATTTCTTAAAAGTACTTTTTATTTCCCAATTACTGTGAGCAGTTTTACGACTTTTGAGTACTTTTCTCCTCAGCGAAATCATAAATTTTTTTCCAGTCATTTTCTGTTAAAGTATTTTTACTTTTACTTAGTTTTTTCTTTCAAGTACTTCATCTTCTGTAGAGACTTTGAGGTACTGATCTTCATCCCATCCTCTTCATTCTCAGCTGCAAACAGCTCCAGTTAGAGCTGAAGATCACAGCACAACGATGACGCCAACAGGACCACATCATCTGCTAACAGAGATCGAATCCTGAGGCCATCGACCTGGACCTCCTCCAAACTGAGACATTCTTTCCATTACAGTCTACAGTAAATACTGAAATATGTTCACTGTCTACTTTGATTTTGTGAGTTTTTGCAAAAAATATCCGCAAGTGACATTTGGTTCATCACAAAAATCTGACTTAACCGGTCTTTGTTTTTCTAAAAAGACACCGGCTGCTCCAACAGGGAGAACCTGGTGTGAAGATATTTCTGGTCTGGAATCAATAAAAAGCCTCTTCAAGCACAGCTAAAAAAAATAAAATAAAATGAGGACGTTGCCCTGAGTAGGTGCTGGGTCGCACAATCTACATCCAGAGCTGGAGAGAAAAATACATAACCAGCAGAAATACGGCGCTGTGGAAAATAACTTTAATAAAACTATGCAAAGAAACATCCAAACAACAATGAAAGCCTGTTCAGTCGACAATATTCAGCGTCTGTGCCTGAAGGCTAGTGGTGAGAATTTGTGACGCACGACACAGAAACCAGCAGACAGCACAATCATCGATGAGCTCAGGCCCGGTCCAGTAGCTTCTAGGAAAAGAAGTGGATCATAAATGGGATATTGCACAAAAAAATCCAACTTAGATGCAGATGCTGGGAGAGCGACTTGGGTTGAAACAAGGTGTCAAGCTCCGCCCACATCAGCCACAGACCACGCCCACGTCTGTTTGTATAAAAACCAATTTACATGATATTTGGACATTCAGATGGTTAAAAAAAATAGAGCAGTCCGAACAATAAAAAACTAATTTTTTTTGTTTTGGTCTTAAAAGCATCAACTGAAGTGGGATTTTTTTAAATCTAAAAGTGTCGCTTTTTCGTGAATGGGGGAGTCAGAGTAATGCTTTTCATTCATGTTAAGGTAAACCACTTGAAATACAAATAATAATAATAATAATAAAAAAAAACCAGTTTAGATAATAAAAGTCTTTCTGAAACACTCATAAAAACATTCCAGTGTTCAAAGGTCCAGTGAGAGGCGAACAGTGGACCAGAAGGCTCAGAGCATAGTTTCCCTCACACGTTCTCTGTGTGGAACAGTAAAGTAGTCTGGCACATCCATGTCTCATGTCTAATTCTTAAACTGAAAAATAACAAAAGGAATATTAATAAAATAAAATTAAAACAATACAATCTTCCTGCAGTTTTAAAGCACACTTTAGGACAGCGGGACGAAGTTGCACTTCCTGTGATGGAGTCCATCGTTTTTAAGACAATAGGGTCAAAAGTTTCGTCAATTCAAGCTCCGCCTTTTCAACCTTCCCTCACTGCCCTGCTTGATATGTTTTCCACTTGAGCAGAGCTTTCAGGTCACCTGATAAAAACTTCATCCGTTTCCTCACCGACTCCAGCCCCCGGGGTTCGGACCGGTCGTCTCCGTGGGTTTAGTGTGGGTAAAGTGGTGCTCCAGTTCTCTTCCTGTGGCTGAGCGCTCCACCAGCCGCTGTGCAAAACTTGCAAACATCACCTACAGTGGTTCCACAGAAATGTGTCAGACCGTTTCCAGGTCCGTGATGCAGGGCGAGGAGGGGCAGAGGGAAAAACATTCTGACTGAGAGTTTTTACTCTTTTCGTACAGCACATCTGCCTGCATGTGGGATTATAAGGGTCTCCGTGGCACATTTAGCCCCCACCCCATACCTCACGCTCCCCTCGTGTTCTCGCTTGGTCTCTGGCCTTTTAGGGCTTGCAGCGGCTCTAGGACCGGTTGTCTTTGGCCACGTTATGGGCCATCCAGTTCACTTTGGTCGTCCAGCTCTCTCTTAAGGCTTCATCAAACTTCTGGCGGAACTGCTTCAGGGCGTCGTCGTCCGTCTTCCCCAGAGCCAGAGAGTCCTGACGGGAGGAGAGGGACACATGCACAAATATAAAAACACACAGAGTGAAAATAAAACTGCTGAAATGCTTATTTGTGACAGTTTAAAAATATGATGAATCATGCTCCACCTTTGCTGTGTCACATGTCCTGTACAGTTCAATTAACTGTGGGGTCATTTATTTTAAAAATGTCAAAGATGCAATGCACTGGGCGCATTAATGTCCACACCCCCTGAAATAATTCTTTGTTAAAACACATTCAGATTTAATTAGTCTTCAGTCTTTGGAACAAGTCCATCAACAAACCACACCTTGACTTGCTAAAATAGGCCAAATCTTCCCTGCATAAGGGCTCCAAATCTGCCAACATGTGCAGAAAACTGGCTGTGCACAGCCGACGTCAGGTCACCACACAGGGTTTCTATCACGTTTCAGTCTGATTAGGTCATTCCAAAACCTGTATTTACTACTGGTGCAACTATCTTTATATTTTTGGATGCAGGTTTTGGCTCCTTTCTAACAAATAGTTTAAGGCAAAATGTAAAAAAATATTTGGAATGGTTCATAATTCCATCCACCTTGACTAAAAGCCCAGTTGTATCTGAAGAAAAGCAGCTCCACATGATGAAGCTGCCACCACCATGCTTCACTGTGGGCATAGTAGATCCACACACTCGCCTCTGCACCAAAAATAACTTTTGGAAGTGTGGTTGAAAAGTTCAACATCCGACTCGGACACATTTTTTAACTACTTTTAGTAGTCTTGATGCAGTATATACATTTTTGTTGTTGTTTAGTTTTTTTTAAATCTTGATCTTGGTTTTGGTGTGTTTCATTCATACTGAATGATTTAGACTCGGTGAGAACACCGGACCAGAGCAGGGCTCTTGTCAGCCTCCCTGACCAGTTTCCTGCTCGTCTTTTATCACTTTCGGAGGAACATTCTGTTCCCAATTAGTGCCAAGTATGAAGGAAGTTGTTGAATCAAAACGTAACTAAAAGCATTAATGTAAGGGTGTGAACACTTTTGCAGCACATTGTCTATGTTTAATTTAATTTCCCCTTAAATTTTTTTTATTGTATTTCCAGTTAAGTATTAAAAAATATAGATATCAGAGCAAAGGTAAGACCCATTTTGAAATGATTTACCACCACAAAAACCTTCTTATATCCTCTGTAGGACCTAGGGTTGGGCATAATCGTATCGTGTGCGATTAATCGTCAGAAAAACATTAATCGATTATTTTTTGGCACTTGACGATTAATACGATTAATGCCACCAGGCAGACTGACTGGGGATTACTCCGGTCAGTCCTCTCAGTCCTCCTCTCCGCTTCAAATATGACAAACATTAAAAATAAAGTTCTGTAGTTTATTTATCTATAAACACAATTTAAAATATGATGTATAGCCTGAAATCTGTAATTTTCACACAATTTGGAACAATTTTTTACAAAGAGCAAATCTTTCCCACTAAATTGGTCATGTGACTACGAAATAAGGGTGTCCAGGGGATTAATCGTCAAATTAATCGTTATCGGCTAAATACCACAATTAATGTTGATTAATTTTTTGCCAATATTTCCCAACCCTATAGGACCTCAGCCTGAATGACAACACTCACACTAAACAGGATCTGGGATTATACTCAGTAAATCTGAGTCCAGTTGTGAACAGCTAGACAAAAATAGTTCTTTAAATGACTTTTACAGCTGAACTTATGTAAGATCTAGTCATTAATTTGTTTAAAAAGCACCAACATATTGACATGTGGCTTAGTGGTTAGAGATTTAACAAAAATGGCATTTCTCATCTTTGACAATACCATAAATCTGGTTATTGAAACCCCCCTGGGATAACTCCTACCCAAAAACCCATTTTAGTTATTGGGAGAAGTGATAAATTATTGATCATTTAATACAGGAATCAGTCACAGCACAGCTCAGAAAGAATGTTTGATGGCAGTTTTCTTGGCCAATCAGTGTTCGCTGACAGCGGGTGATAAACATGGTGGTTGGTTGGTTTAGTTGGATGTTAAAGTGTTAAAATGTCAGAAACATAGGACATTTATTTATTCTTCTGAGTCTCAGTTAAATAAAGTTGCATATCTGACATCAATGCCAATGTTTAAACATCTAAATATTTTACTTTTAGATCAAAATTCAGACCAGATGCTTTTATATGCATCTAAAGCATAGCATTATATGCATAAATAAGATAATAAGCAGATATTTATTTTAATTTGCTCTCTCTCACATTTATGTTCAGGTAATCACTTCAAAAATGTTTCCCATACAGTATCTGTAAAAACCAATCAAAACGGATATTTAAGTAGAACTGCAAAAAAAACAGAAAAAAAAGATCAGCCATAAAAATGACTGATCGGCAAAATGTTGGTCCTCCAGCAGATTTTGTTGCTGACCCCTAACGTTTAGACTAAATGTCTATGTTCAGCACAACAAAAACAGTTTTCAGGATGACGTCAGAGCCGTATTTGTGTGGTTCAGTCAGAAATCAGCAGCAGTAAAAGGGACGTGTTGTTGGATGAATTAGTGTTTTAAGGTCAAACTGCAGGCTGTGGTAGAAAAAAAGGGTTATTTTTCAGCTGTTATCTGCTGCTCTGGTTCGATGTAGGGTGCTGTGGACAGCTGCGTCATCAGCAGACCACAGAGGCTCAGGAAAACAGAGATGTCAATACAACCCTCAGCCAGACAAACTGAAACTGCATGTACAACGCTGCAGTTTTTTTTTTTTTTTTTTACTGTTGCTCCAGTTAAAAACAAATGTCCCCAACGGCCATGGCTGCAGAATGTTGAAAATGCCAAATGAAGGCTGCAGTGGAGCCACACTCTGAGCTCCAATAGGTGCTGGTAATGGTCAGGAAGAGACCTGCTGACCCAACTCTGTTTTTCTTTGTAAAACTGGTGCAGCCACAGCTGAGAGTGCACCAACTCTGACTGTGGTTACAACCAGCACCAGTCTGTTACATAACACACCAGAAAGAAGCAGAAGAAGCAGCTGTTTTCAGTGTGACAGGAGAAAAAAAAACAACATAACCAGAGTTGGCATGAGGTCATACAACAACACAAGTCAAACTCTTTTTTACAGCTCTAAACTCTTTTTGTTAGCATGCTGCTGAGCTGGATTTTTTAAAATCATATAAAAGATCATTAACAATTGTAAATGACCACTCATTTAACAAAGCATTTCCTTTTGATTGTATTTGACTCTGTTTTAGATTTCACTAAATCTACTAAAGAACCAATCAGTTTTTTTGGGGTTCATAGTAATCAATATAAACCTTTTAACCAAATGATGCACAAAGCTAAATGTATGGCTCAGAGCTATGGCTCAGACACAAACACATCTACTTCCATTGTCATGTCTTTTTTTTCTACGTTTCCACAACTTTTTGAAGCAGGTTTGTTTTTGAGTCAGCTTGGTCTGTGACCACAGCAGTGCTGTTACTCCACAGCAGTATCAATGAACTCCCAGCGGCTGCCCTGTCTCGTGTATCTTTGTGTGTATCATGTGATACCTTTAAGTACTGGATGTCTTTGACAGAAGTGAGCTCAGGTAGTCCGGCAGTCAGCATGAGGGCAAACAGGGTGATGAAGAGGTTGCCGTTTCTCCTCAGGATTAGATAAGCATCCTCGCAGTACTGCCGGAAACTGCAAGAAGCACAAGAGAAACACAGACACATTAGTTTATTTGGTCTAATGACTAAAGTCAACAGTAGCTTGATTTTGGAACAGTGACCACAGGAAACCAAGAAAAACTTCTATTCTAGTGTACGCACAGAAAGACCTCAATGTTTTTTTATTTTTATGTCAACTAAGTATTAGGATTACAGTCCAGATAATTTTTAAAAATGTTACTACAAAATAAAATTATAAAAGTTCTATTAAATTTAGTGGTTTTTAATGCATATTTATGTTTATGTTTCAACTCTTATTTCAGATGCAGGGTATAGAAAACACAGCTGTTGTCTGCAGGAGTTAAAGTAGACCAGTGTGGTTTTGGTGGTTCTGTGATTTTACTGGAAGGTTTGTTTTGAGTTTTGTTATCTGTGGAATTAAGATTGAGCTGAACGCACACGCCCACAGACTGCTCATAATACGTGACAAACACTTCCTTTTTGTTGACAACTAACCACACAGAATCTCGAAAGACAGTGAAATGACTTTAGAAGAAAAAATGGCCTTTTCACCCAAACAGCATCAATACTTTGTATAGGTTTATCTCAGAAGGTATACAGACTACACCTGCTGGAGGTAATGGACAAAAATTTAAAAAAAATATCCTAAAAAATTGTTTCTCATTTCATCTTTCACTCAAATTGTGTGCATGTATCACATGTACACTGTGTACTACCTAAACCACATTTGCTGACAGCAACGCCCCACAGACATACTTCTCGTTTTACAGATAAACAGCAGACTGGATTAAGTGTATTTTCTCCATTCTGCTCCCATGTCAAATGATTGTGGCAAAGCACGAAACCTCGAAGCTGAGCCGCTGCAGAACTGTAGTTTAAGCAGCACATAACCCTGTTAAATTATTTACATAAAGCAGTTCAGCCTGTGCAAGTGGACATTTTATGTTTTTGCCACTCCTTGAAGTACCTTATATGTAATAGTCAGAGGCTACAACCAAAGTGAAAAAAACAACAACAATGAACCGGTGTTAAAAGGTGTCACTGCACATGCACTCAATTGTTATTTTTTAACTTTTGTTATGACTTTTTTTTGACATTCAGCACTCAATGTTGCACCAAACTTATTCACATATGTTCACCCTCTTGTACTGCAACTCTAAATACATATGATACTAGGTCAAAATCCCACAAGTGAGCGTACCACACGGTTTACAAAATGTGGTTTGACTTCAAGCACGTCACCTCAGTGGTTAAAGCCGTCACCTCACAGCAAATAGGTCAAAGGTTGGACATTTTTCTGCAGTCTTTATGCGTGGTGTTTGTATGTTCCCCTTGTGCACAAATGGGTTTTATTTAGTTTCTACCCACTGATCAAAAACATGCACAATGGGTTAATTCGCAGGTCTATAAAAACTGTCCCTAGTTGTGTGAGTGTGTGAATGGCTATCTTTCTTTTTGTCTCTATGTGGCCTTGTGATGGACTTGTAACGTGTCCAGGGTGTAGTCCACCTCTTGCACAACGACAGGCACCAGCTCCCCTCATGAACCCTGCAAACCAACACGCTGCAATGAGCTCCAAAATTCCATCAGGCCAGCCTTGAGACTGTTACAAGGTGATAAGGACAATAAGACAGGAGATCCAGTCAGTTCATAACAATATGGTGGATGTGGGACCAGGGGCAGAGCTTCGGGGGTGCTGGGAGGGCGGCACGCCCGTCTGGACCTTGTTGGGCACAGAGGGAGATAGAACTTAATCCTCAATTTACACCATGCTGTTCTGCTCTGGTCCAACCTCTACAGTAAATATTCAACCATTATAATCAAGGACAGAACCAGCTCTACACCCTCAGCAGGGTCCTGGAGGGTGCATGGGAGTTCGCCCAACCTGTCTACATGTGTTTTGTGGACTTGGAGAAGGCG